TTGAGTGGGATTTGGCCCCAGGACAGGACTTTGGCCTTGCAACGCGGTAGAAATATGAGATGCTCTTGTCACCTCAAAGTTATCATTACTAGAGCTTTGTGCTTGCATTTTTAAGGGAACGCAGTGGTACCAGCTTGGTGTCATGCGCATCCATTTCTTTTCTGTTGTCTAAGGCTTGAGCTAGCCATCTTATCACACACCTGATTCTGTCAAATTAAATGGATTGGGCTTTCTTTACTGGCTTTTTCAAACGGGTAGGCTGCAGAGGGTGCACACAGCAAGTGTGCCATGCACAAAGAGGCCGCTTAGAGGGTGTGTTGGATTCGTTACAGGAGTGCGAGCAGCTTCAGAAGATGTATGGTGGGCACATGGACGAGAGGACGCTGGAGAAGACACAGCAGCAGCACATGTTGTACCAGCAGGAGCAGCACCATCAGATCCTTCATCAGCAGATTCAGGTACGGGAGCCCGAGCCAGACCTTCTGAAGTCTTAACTGTGTTTTCCTGCATTGCTGCAGATACAACTCCCGGTGGGATTGAGGAGGGTAGATTGCTGGGCTTGCTGTAATGAGAAGCAAGCCTGAAGGGCTTCAGCGGTCAAGTTTGCACAGCTGCTGCAATAGCCAGAGCTGCAGTCAGGGATTGAGTATTTGGTGAATCTGGATACGTCCTACTTCACCAGTCAGCATTTTCTAAATTTACTGGTTGAGACATTATCGATTGCGAACGCTTCTTGTTTTCTTCTGGTGCCTGGTTCAGGACTGTATCCGGCCACCCCAGCCATCTCCACCCTTGCAAGCTCCGTGTGAAAACCAGCCAGCTCTGCTCACTCACCAGCTTCAGAGGTAAAGAAATTGGTTTAGTAAAGCTCTGGGAATGGGTTTTACGCTTACTTGAGCCCAGGGGTGAGCTAACGCACTTAGGAGAGTCGGAAGAGTATAAAGTTAGAATGGCGTAGCCAGTTGCCAGGCGAACGTGCCTGGTCCTTTTAGCCGGATTCCGTCTGAAGGACTTTTGGAAGCAGAGAAACATGATTCAAAGGCAGAAATCGGCTTTGAACAGATGATTGACAGTTCTGCCTTTTGACTGGCTTAAAAACGCATTACCTTCAGTAGCCGGTTTCTCTCGTGCTTTCTGCTCAGAGCTGCTGCTGTATGTCTCGCACCTTTTCAGGCTTTTGGTTAGGTAACCGCCCTTGGCTTCGGCACCCTGACCTGTAGGTGAGGCAGGCTGAATTATGGGAGAGGAGAAAGGAAGGTTTCTCACCGGGCACGGTGAGTCAGGAGGCGAGCCTGCGGTGCCCTCCCTTGTCCCTGGGTTTCTGTTGTAGCCACCGGCTTATGCTCGCTACCCGTGTGACTTAGGGAAGTTGGGTGTCTCTTGGAAGAGAAGCCACGCTGTAAAGAGTTTGGGATCCCAAACAAGGGCTTTATGGTGTTTATTTAAAACAACAGAAACACGGCACTTGGCGTCAGCTCTTGCAGTTGAAAAGGCATTTTAATTGGGAGCAGGCACGATGAAAAGCATGATGCTTGTTTCTCTGCGTAGGTTACGGATTCAGCCATCCAGCCCGCCCCCGAACCACCCTAATAACCATCTCTTCAGGCAACCAAACAGCAGCCCACCTCCTGTGAGCAGCAGCGTGCTCCAGCCCCACGGTAAGTGCTGACAGTTTACTTGAGCCATCTGCGCTCCCGGACGGTCCTATCAAACCTCCGGGGAAAACAGCGTGCGGGGGTGCCGGGGGCTTCGGTTCCCCCTGCGGCCCAGTCCTCGCGCGGTTTGATGATGATGTAAAAGATTCTCCATCTGGCAGCAAGGGCTGGTGTTACCGAGAGCTTGCGAGGAGCTGCCAGCTGGAATGTGCTGTTGGGTTTCTTGTCACAAGATCCTTACTTATCGCTCCCGGGGGTTGGGGAGGAAGGGCTGATATTCTCGGGTTTATGCAAATCGCTGTCAACTCCGCTTTGTTTCTCTTTCTGTGCAAGGGGCTCTAGCCGTGACCTTTGCACGCTGGCGCAGCGTGACGGAGCGGTCGGGAGTAGCGCTCCTCGCCACCCGCAGGCACGTGGTTGGGACTCCCAGCGTGGTCCAGAAGAGCAGCAGCTCCCGTGTGGGGCAGATCTCGCTCCCGACCCTCGCCGCAGGCTGGCGCGGGTGCTGAGGGTCTTTGTTCCTTGTAGGTGCCGCCTCCCAGTCCCAGTTCCAAGGGCTGCCGTCCCACAACACAATCTTCCCGCAGTCCGGTAACTGTTCCCCTCCCCCGAACATGGGGCTGACGTGCCTGGGCCTGCAGCAGCAGTCGCAGCCTCAGCAGGTCACTATCCAAGTGCAGGAGCCCGGCGACATGGTCAGCAACAACCTCCTGCAAGGGGCCTCGGTGGCCGGGCAGGGCATGTCCTCCCACGCGCGGGGCATGCCCATCAGCCCCGGCGCCAACCAGATCCAGATGCAGCACCGCGCTAACCTGATGGCCTCCCTCACCTACGGCCACAGGCAGCTGTCCAAGCAGCTCAGCGCCGACAGCGCCGAGTCGCACAGGTAAGGCCGCCGGCCGCCTCTGCGCCGCTTCCCCCAGCTGGGAGTGGGGAGGAGGAAGCTGGGGCAGACGTCTCAGGCTGAGACGCGGTTTCCTTGCCGGCCCGGGGCTGTGCTGTGCTGGTTTCGAGGAGTGAGCCGTCTCCCTGTCCCTGGGAAGTGGTCCCCGAGCCGGGTCAGGGCTCTGGGAGCCTGTGGGGCTGCTGTGCCGCGTGGCTTAGGGAGCACCTCCTGCCCAG